GGCCTGACGTGACCGAATCCGAGATGTTTCTGTTTCTAGGAATAATCATTCAAATGGGACATGACAATAGAGGCAGACTAAAGGACTACTGGTCGACTCTAGAACAATTTGCCACGCCTTTCTGCTCTAAGACAATGAAACGCGACCGTTTTCTACACATTCTTCGTTTTCTTCATTTTGCAGACAACAGTACAGAAATTGACAGGAATGCCGGCAGTATGACCAACTATGGAAAATTCGGACCATCTTCGACACTCTCAATGACGCATTTGAAAAATATTATAACCCTTCCGAACATTTGGCCATTGACGAAATAATTGTAAAATACAAAGGGAGGGTGGTTTTTAGGCAGTACATTCCTAAGAAACACAAACGTTTCGGAATCAAAATCTTCAAAATCTGTGACGCCGCTGGGTATACTTATGACATGAAAGTTTACTTAGGAAAAGACAGGACACGTGCCAGCCAAGACGTGACAGCGACACATGCTACAGTTAGGGACCTATGCAGGTGTATTGAGGGCGTAGGTCACAAACTGTACATGGACAATTTCTTTTCGTCACCAGACTTGTTCGATGACCTGATGACAAAGGACATAATGTGCTAGTCAGACCTAATCGGAAGGGCTTGCCTGACGATTTTCGACGAAGACAATTTCGAAATCATATGAGGTCGTTCGGCCATATGACGTCGGTAGATTACATTAGATCGCAGGAGGGAAGGCTGTCACCTTATAAAGGTTGTGACCAAAAATCATATAAATAGAACAATAATTTATATTTTAAATTTAATTTTAAAAAAATCTTTACACGCGTGGAATGCGCAACATCATATGATGACGTTCGGCCATTTGCCCTTACTTTTAACGTCATATGACGTCGCTAGATTACATTAGATCATGCAGGAAGGAAGGCTGTCTCCTTATAAAGGTGGTGACCAAAAATCATGTAAATAGAACAACAATTTATATTTTTAATTTAATTTAAAAAAACCTTACACGCGTGGAATCCGCGACGTCATATGATGTCGTTCGGCCAGCTGCCCTAACTTTTAATGACATCATATGATGACGTTCATCCGATAAAGGTTAAATATTTAAATTGCCAGTCCACAAAGTGTTAACAAGATGTTGCTGTATTGCTCTTGTTCTAATATCAGCATTATTTGGAGTCCAAGAGACACTTGGATAATGTGCCCAAGTGACATGAAAATCTCAGCTTTTTACTGCAATAAGAAAATAACTGAATACAATTTTTTTAAACACACATTGATGAATACTTCATATTCCACACATTTTATAAAATAAATTATAAGAATATATTTACATTTAAAACTCACCTCAGTAGTCACATATACTGCATTTTTTGCCACTTGCTCTTGGAATGCGACCAGAAATCTGTCAAGAAGTGTACGATGAAATGTAACATTCTGAAGCACAGTAATGGGGCAACTGACCTTATCCTCAAAGTCTCTGAAGTCCATAGCATTTAACCTGACAATACAAAAACCCATACAACCATAAAGTTTTTCTTCTTCTAAAGTGATAAATTGCTTCTATCAAATGGAATGAAGGTAATATACGTTCACATCCATTAGAAAAATAAAGTCTTCTAAAGTGGGAAATAACTAGAATACTCCTAAAGAATAAAACAGATCAAATGCCTTCAAATGTATGAAATTTTATCTCTATGGCACAGAGGGAGGTAAAACATTAATATACGGTTATCAACTATGTACAGAATGCGAATGAACTCTCTGGGGGGGAGGGGGGACAACTACTACAAAACAGCATCAGAAATTGTCTTATTTCATATTCTTAGCATTTCAGCATAAGATTTTAGGTAGTAAAAGCAATGACATACAAATACAATATATTTACAGCAATATGGAAATATGCAGTTGGAGATAACAAGTTAATAACAAATACTGTATTACTAAATTTACGTGATCTACCTTCTGGAAAGATTTCAGAAGCAATAAATGCTTGTAGTCATAAATTAATTTATGAAACTATTTTTGGTCATAGACACTGATTTATGTCAAGCTGTAATAAAAATAAACAAATTCTGAAAATAATGTATCATACAGGCATCCAACCAGACAGTTTCATTTGTAAACCAACATGTCAGGATACCATTTAACCTTTAACGTACGGACTTTTAAATTGCCGGGAGCCCTCTGCGGCTGGTATTTAAATCACCCGGATTAATTAAATTTGCAAACCGTCAGGAAAAATCCATATTTTCTGTTCTATGCAACATAGAAATAAAAACTAAAAACAACCTGAAAGACAATAAATTTTTCTACATGTACACAGAAGAGCGATTTTTACAAACGAAAATTAACTGTGATTATTTTGTCATGAATTGCAAAATATTCATATTCTGAGAACAAATATGTCTTTGTTTCCCTTTGGTTGACCAGTGTTTCGAATGTTTCACCTCCAGTCGACTCAGTTGGGCCCCAGCTAACCTTGGCCTCCCATGAGGAACGCCACTGACCGTGATATTCGGCTTGTGCGATTGAAGAATCATCTTGGGGGAGGGGGGTTTCTAACAAAATCGAATAAATTATTTTGATTGACAAAGCGACACTCTCACCTGTTGGTAATATTCGCAAAATAATGATGCAAAGTAATTATAATACAAGTCGAAAAGAGTGCCAGTCTGGCGAAGATGACTTTTACTCACAAAGTAATACTGGCTCAGTGGCTTTATACCTCTTCCAAGACGCAAAATAAAAATGATATATAACGAAATATATGACAGTCTGACACCGACTTTCTAACTGATAAAGAAATATCAGACAATTCGACACTGACTTCCTGACTGATAATACGCCACTGAAAACCAATCCTTGAATGTGTCAGACTTCCTTGAAGGCTTTGCAAGCGCTCATTTACAAGCACTGATAAGTATTTCATCAGTTCTCGAAACAAAGCTGGGCTATATTTGACTGACCAGGTCATAAACGGTCATATCTAAACATAAATAGTGTAACGTGTTTCGTTACTGAAGACGCCGTAGAGATGGTTAATTGGTTTATTTAACAATCTACAAATAACGGCTACAATTAATTATCACAATATTACGGGTTTCCACACTTTACAAACCCTACAACAAAATCTCTTAACACGATCTTCACTTGTCTTCACGTACTAATAACGCGGGAGCTATACAAGTCTCCCTGAATTACACACTCCAGATATAACTGGTTATC